ATGCGAACGCTGAACGGTGAGTTAAGCTCCACGAGGTTGATAAACTCTGACTGGTTGTCCACGGAGTGAAGGCTCGTCATCTGATAAGGTGGTGAACGATCGAGGCTGCGTTTTAACAGCCGAGAGCGAAGAAGTGAGGTGTGATATGGGAGCGTGATGGCAAAGGAGTCAGATGAAGTAAAAGTGGGGCTGAGGGTGACTCACAGTTGCGAATTGCTGTCTCATAACTGTCGAAACGCCATGCATCATCCGTGCAGGCCAGACTACAACTGAAACGTGCATCAGAGATGAGACCCAAAAAAAAAAAAACGTTTGCACATCAAGCAACAACTTTCATTGATCACCGACTATCACAATCGTTCCGCTGCTGACTGAGTCCGTTAATATTTAGTGAGACTTTAAAACAACGTTAAATGTCTTGCTTAAAATGTTTGGACAGGAGTGCCGTTTTAATCAGAACAACTTGTAGCCACACAGCCCAGGCTAGCGAGTCCACGTTCATTCAAAATACGCATGTTGTCTCTTGGGACAAAATGTCCCTTATTCTTGTTTATCTTCCACTGCTTCAGCACGGTTTCGAAAGCCTCGCAGATTGACGGTAATCCACGATGGTAATCCACCGGATCCAGGATTTGAAGCGGTATGTATTGTATTATTTTGTAATATGCTTCAGTGACACCTAATATGCTTCAGTGCTTCAGTTCAAGGTGGGACACCGCTTATGAATCAGATTCATTGTACAGAAATTTAGTTGCAGCTGCTGCCTTAGAGCTCCTTGCATTGTGCAGGTGTACCAAACGCTCGGGTTGAAAGTGCTCATTTGTGGAGATGTCGAGTGGGAATGAGCAACAAACACAAACGCAGTTGATTTGAGGGCATAGGGTGGGGGGTGAGCTCATGTGTCGTCAGAAAAAACAGCAATATATTCGGAAGCCAATCTTCTCGTGGATGCGGCGTGCGGTCCACGACACGGAAACCAGCGGAGAAGAAAAGAGGCAGTGTTCCGGTCAGAGTATTTTGGTTGGGGTGACGGCGGGCCCTTTTCCACAGCTGCAGGTGGTGTGCCTGCAATGTTAACTCACCCCATCAGTTTCCATTTGCTCCAAAACAGCAGCAGTGCTGAGCGAATGGTGTCATCAGCTGAGCTACTTCGCAATTCGTCAGCAACTATTCATCTTTTTTGTGTAATGTCAGGTTGATGAAGCAAGCCGGCAACGCTCTCCCAGTCGGCTATTGCTTCCAAAAGTCGAGTGAAAAATGAAATGGGGTCGTTTTCTCGGTGAAAAGCCGTTCAAGCTGGTAGCGTTACTTCGGGGGAATCGTATTACACACGAGGAGCATGCATAAACTGCTAGTAATGAAGTACCAGACATTTCCCCCCCGTAGAGGAGAGACAAAGAAACAAATGGTGGGCAGCTCACAACGACAAGGAAACAACTTGCGGAGGAATGGGATTGCAATTGTCACGAGGAGGAAGGGAGGGAGTTTGGTCATCAGTGGTGACTCTGCATAAAGCGACACGATGGTTTTGTTTCTCTTTCCAGTGTGTACAGTATTGTAGATGTAACACAGAGTTGTGACTCCATTTTAGAAATGAACATCTGCGTTCTTTTCCTGTTCCTGTTTCTGTTCACTCTCCGACAAGAGACACGTGTCATGGGTTTGCTATTGAAAGAGCTTGTTGAACGTAAATGCAAATATGCAAATGTTGGTTTTTCATTTGGGGGCGGGGGTTGTCAATTCTGCCTTGCAACAGGTGGAATGACTCAACGTATTAACGTGAATGAATCGCAGCGATTATTTTGACTATCATCATTCCCTGAGTTCATTATAACATCGCCATTAGATGCAGGAAAAGTCTGATAGCATTCCTTGTATGTGGCCCACCTAATTGCTTTGTTGCCAACCATTTTTCCCCACATAGAAACACAGAGTCAAACTTGAGTGAGATCTCGGTAGAACCGCCCCCGCCTCACAAAACATGAGGTGAGTGGGGGCGGTTCTGCCTCCATTTTTACTCATGAATTCAATCTTAAGTTTTTTTCTGTGAAGCTGTACTCCAACCAGCCTCGGGGCAGGTCAAATTGAATTGTGAGCCTTTCACCAGTTCCGCACATGCGGCATCAATGTAGGACAATGTTAAGTGGGGAAGTAGAAAATCCAGTTTGCCCAGAAAGATGGATTTACATTTGTAAAATAAGCGAAGTTTATGATGTAATTTCTACTGTACCTTGAATGACACCAACGGACTTTGTTGTCAAGGTAGCGTTTTACGCAGTTGTTTGACAAAGCTCCATCCGTGAAGGTCAAAGCGAAAGAAACATGGACTCAGTTTAGATCCACACATTTATATGCCAGGTATACGATGGGAATGAAAGCAAAAGTGAGCGGTGAATTTACTTTCTTTGCAGTGGAGCCGCTTTGGTCAGCACCTGCAGACAGCGAAGAGTCAATTTCTTCGATTCAATTTTCAATTGTCCAGCTTGAGCCTATCAAGGTCCAATCTTAAGGTCCCAGCCTCTTTATGATAGTCTCATCCATCTGTAATCCTCACTGTAATTCCATTCCTTTTATGCTCTCATGATTCCCAGTCCAAACGGAGCTTGCTTGGACACCAGCAAACTGCCTTATTTCACATGACCCATCCACGCGTCCATCTCCGATATCTCATATATGCTATTGGAGTCACGGTTGAGCTGGAGCCGATCCCAGCTAACTTTGGGCAAGAGGTGGGTCGCAGTCAATCACGAGGCACATGCACAGACGTCGGTTATCAAACGGAAAAACGTTCAATTCAGAAGCGGTGTCGCCGTGACAACAGTAGAATCGCGGAGTAATTTCCCACAGCAAGAGCTTGTGGTTACATCGAAAATCGGTGTTCGGGAGCTGAGCGACCAATGCCAAACATGGACACAATTGATCAGGTCGCCATTAACCGCTGCGCTGTCCTGCGTCCCACCTCGCGTTGGATGCCACAAACAAAAAGTGAATGTGAAAAAGGCCTTTCTTTTGTACCATCAAACGAATGCAAACCATGTGCTATCAAATAAACAAGCGGAATTGAAGGGGGCAGGGGGTTATTTCGACAAAGTGTAGATACCACACTAGGGATAAACCACACAGCAAAGTTAATAGGACGTAAAAGAAGAAAATACGCAACCTACCACTAAATGATGCATGGAGCAAAATTCTTCAAAGTCATCTTTCATCCATCCATCCATCCATTTTCTAATCCGCTTCTCCACAGGAGGGTCGCGGGTGTGCCGGAGCCTACCCCAGCTGTCTTCAGGCAGTAGGCGGGGCACACCCTGAACTGGTTGCCAACCAATCGCGGGGCACACGTAGACAAACAACCATTCGCACTCACACTCACACCTCGGGACAATTTGGAGTGCCCAATCACCATGCCATGCATGTTTTGGGAATGTAGGAGGAAACTGGAGTACCCGCAGAAAACCCACGGAGGCACGGGGAGACATGCAAAGTCCACACAGGAAGGCCGGAGCCGGAATCAAACCCTGCACCTCTGCACTGCGAGGCTGACGCGCTCACCAGTCGACCACCGTGCTACCTTGATCGGTATTCCATGAAATAAATTAGAAACAACTCAGTGTTGTTTGAAATCAGTATAAACAACGGACATTTTGATGAACTCTCTGTAGCCGATGTAAAGAAGCAGTTAAGAGCGAGAGGACAATGCAGTGTAAGTCTCGAAGCAGTCTGCAGAGCTGTGAAAAACAAGCCAAGGAGAGTAAAGGCAGCTGATTCATGACAACGTTACTACCTTGTGCTCCTCATTGATTCAACAGAGGCAAGCTGTGTGAATTAAAATGGTGAATAAAGCAGCTCGAGATGCCAGACACTAACATAAGCAGAGGAGATTCTTTAATTACTTCAAGGACACGGTTAAGATGTTTTAGAGCATCTAGATGTAAAGACTCTTTTGTTTTTTTCCACTTTTTTCTTGTTGAAAAAAGATTTATTGAAATGAATCAATTTCAACATCCAGCTAACAGTTAAAATAAAAATTCACAGGAAGAAGACTCGGTAAATGAAAAACACTGCTGGTCACAAACAAATGGAACTGTGCTCATTTAACCTGAATGCTTTGAGATGAGAATCTGTAAGCTTCAAGGGGGATACTTCCGAACTGTCCCCTTGGATTGGTCTTCATGCTAGGCTAATTGTCTAGCTTTCTAGGAACTGTTCATTAATCCTCTCGGAAAAGTGACCTCTAAAACTAGGACCTGGTCTTTACCCATTGCTCCGAATAGTCCGCAACAAAAGCTTTGTCGCTGTGCTGTGGAGAACACACGGCGTCTCTGTGCCAAAGCTACCAAATGACCAGTCTCCCAAGTCTCTTTTAGGCCTCAGACACATCACTCTCATTTAGCAAGTCATTATCAAAACAGGATTGATGTCCCCCCCCTCGCCCCGGCTAATGATACGACTTTGGTGGCCTGTCTGCCCGACACCATCACCCTTTGGCGAAACTGTGCTTCTTGCAGTTTGAAACCAACGCAAACTAAAAGACTGACTTATTACATATGGGCTACAGTTCCCAAATGTATAATGTGACATCCATCATCCATACCCGCCGGGTTAATGTCACCAAAAGAGAGGACTCACCACCAATCCTCACTAATACCTTCAAAATAAATCTCTCTTCTCCTTCCATCTGGGTAGCTTTGCTCCCGCAAGCCTGCTTCTAGGTTGTTCTGGCATGTAAGGTTACTGCTTACTGATTTATAGTGAATATAATGTCCCACTTAATTTTTTCCCCACATTAAAAATGAACTGACACTTCTCCACATGACTCCAGATGCAGGAAGATAGGAGAACAAAGAGCCTGATCAGACGTAGAAGCACTCAGCCAATAATACTACATAGCCAATGGAAAGAGACAGCCAATCGATAATTCTACACCAGGCAGTCCCTGAATGATAGTTGTTATTCAGCTTTGAGGCGTGCAGTAACAGGAACAAGTGAACTTACGGTACCTGCAGTGAAGTTGTAACTGGCTGAAAATCCCACCGCCTCCAACTCGCCATCCGTAACAAATTTTATCCACAGGTAGCGGCCGCCACTCCTGATATCCGGCGGGCTGTGCTGACCGCAATAGCGTCCGAGCATGGGAGAGAAGCCGAAAGGTCCATCGCGAACTTCGATGTTGTCAAATTTACATTCCCAAGAGGACTCGATCGAATAGTGCTCCTCAAAGTGGAGCTCGATGCACTGCCTTGGCGGGGCTGAAAGACAAGGTTGGAGATCATGACTGCAAGAAGGGTCAGAATGAAGCTAAACTTGCTTCGGCTCCTTTGCGCCTTGGCGGTTAGCTATTTGTACAACAGTAGAGAGGAGCGTTACCTTCAAGTATGTACACACACTCTGTATCCGGTGGGTATTTGTTTGGGTAGTTGGGAGAAGTGAAGAGACCTCCTTCTGGTTCTTTCACCCACGTTCCACACTGACCAGCTGGCTTCACCCCGGAATTGTTTTTCACTGCAAAACAAATTGCAAGGGCCACTAACTATTTTGGACCACATGTAATTCAAGAAAATGACCTCAGATAGTTGGTAGAGCACAGCACAAAGCTTTGAACAGCAGCACCCACGCGGAAACTAGGAATACAAGGTGACAGATGTTCTGCTGGTCCACCCCCAATGTTACAGACCACTTATGAGGTGCACGGGGTGGCCGTGGGAACGCTTGACACACCGTTTTCCTCATTACAGCGACCAAACCACAAAATAATATTTGGTCGTAATTCCATATTGCTGCTGTAATACGCAAATGAAACATTTGTGGTGGTTACCTGATGTGCCTCTCTTTGTTGCGCCGGACAAGCCGAGGAGGAGAAGACTTGCGACAACTGCAATGAGAAATACAGCTTGGATGGATCGACCTCCATTGTTATGGTTAGTAGCAATTTCCCATTCCACAAAGTGTTGATTCATCACAGAAAACATGCCAGCAATAGGGTAACATTTTAATCAGTAAAATGTCAGACGGTTAAAGTTAAACACACACACACACACATACATTGTATTTTTAACAGAGATGTTCCAAAAATGTATTATATTTCAGATAAATACATTTTGGGGGTCCACAATTCTGTTGAACCGATGTGTATGTAAAAACAAGGTCATCATTCTACATTCACAGTTTATATTTGGTCAATTTCAAACAATTAAAACCGACTTCGCTTACCGTGATGGAAGCTGTGTCCATGTACCATGTCTGTTCCTTTCACAAACGGCCGCAGACTCAACTAATTCCATTTAGATGTGGAGTACTTTAGGAGAGAAAACAAGAGGTGAGTTTTAGGGGAAATTCGCGCAGAGAAACCACTCGCCCCTTTCAAATCAATCTCCTCGATGCAGTCATTAGGGAAGAATGTGTGGCAGCAACTAATCGCCGGTTTCATGCAAGACCAAAAACAGTTCTCGTAGCAGACACTCGCCCAAATTCCATCCAAACGTTTCCAAATCTCTTTGGTGCACTGAAAGGATTACTCGTTCCGTCATGAGCCCAGCTCTAATCGCTCCACCTTTGCCATCTTCTTTTCGGAAAAGAACACATGAGGCAGCCTTGTTTTCGTCCTCTTTGCTCCCCTCATCAGGAGGAAGAGAGGAGGAGGAAGAGGAGGAGGAGGAGGAGGAGGAGAGGTTTCGGCAGCATGGAGAGCCGCGCAAGGCTCATCTCAGCATCCTCAACATGTCGGCACCGCCGCGCGTAAAGATCCTGCAGCGGGGGAAACAAGTTGGGATTTTTTTTTTTCTTGGTGGATGTGGGTGCTGCTGCAGAAAATCCGACGATGTCGAGTGTGTGCATCAGTCTGCTGCTGTGCACTGTCAAGTAAGAGTCTCCGCAGCCAAGCCGAGTTCTCGTATAGCCCCCCCATCACCCCTCCCGCCCCCTTCTAATTCCTCCTCCTCCTCCTCTAGCGCGCACGTTCATTCACAGGCAATGCGCCACAATCCTACAACGCGG